GGCCAACCAGGATCTTGAGAGAACTTTGCGATGTTTGATTATTCAGAATCCTTCCTCCTGGAGCCAACAACTCTCATGGGTGGAGTACGCACACAACTCATTACCAGTGTCATCCACGGGCCTATCTCTGTTTGAATGTAGCTTAGGGTACCAGCCACCTATTTTTTCCAATCTGGAATCCGAAGTTGCGGTTCCCTCCGCTCACGCCTTCATCCAGAGGTGCCGTCACACTTGGAAAAGAGCCCGAGAAACTCTTCTCCAAGTGAGGACGCGCACCAAGGCTCAGGTCAATCGCCACCGGTCGAAGCCTCCCATTTACGTCGTTGGTCAAAAGGTTTGGCTTTCCTCCAAGAATATTCCTCTCCGATTCGTTTGTAATAAGCTAGCTCCCAAATTTATTGGCCCGTTTTCTGTCACCAAAGTTCTTAGTCCGGTGGCAGTCCGCCTCAAACTTCCTCCGGCGTACAGGAGAATTCATCCTGTGTTCCAGGTCTCCAAATTGAAGCCCGTTTTTCGTTCACCCATTAATCCGCCTGCCCCGGTTCCCCCACCGCCGCGTCTCGTAGACGGGGAACCCACCTATTCGGTTAACCGCATTCTGGACTCGAGACGGAGGGGACGCGGATTTCAGTACTTGGTGGACTGGGAAGGTTACGGTCCGGAGGAGAGAAGTTGGGTTGTTTGTGTTGCCGGTGATCAGCGCCATCAGCTGATTAGCGCCAGCTGTGGCTTATCAGCTGGCCTATTTAATGTCTGTGTTTTCTGTCCTGTGTTGTCAGATCGTTTGATGTTGTTACCGTGTTCAGTTCATGTCTCTCTGTTTCTGACCAGTTCCTGGAGTTTCCTTCTCTCCTCTGCCATGGGCTTCGCTGCACGGATCCTCGAGCATCGGCTGCCCGTTTGTGTCCCTGCGGTACCCGGAGTTACCTTCACTTTTCCCCTGTCTGACTCTCGTCATCTTCCTTGTTGGGAATTCCCAATAAATGTTGTTTTTGCACTTTCGCTACTGAATCCTCATTCTTTCTCCCTGACATTTACAGCATCTTTATTACGGAGCGGAAAATTTCTTAACAGTGGGTACTTTAGAACTCTTTCCTGTTTTTATCACACATGCAGGGGGCTGAAGGGCTTTGGTTTGACCCAAAGAACTTAAACACAAAAAAGAAAAGAAAAGAAAACCACAAGCTGAAGAGCAGCACATGTTGATGATCTTTAGCACACTGACCACAGTAATAAAGCACCCTTCAAACACAAAGAACTGAGACATTTACAAGCAAGTCACTTTACATAGTAGACATAAAATAAATAAATAACATACGATAAAATAAAATAAAAATACTGGGTTAAAGAGCATTTTTTTCTTTCTGAAATTACACACCTTGATTAAAAAAAGATAACCAAATCAAACTTATGTTTGATTTATCACATTCAGTAACTCTGTTATGTTATGTTCTGTTAAAGTAGTATTGACATAAATTGTATGTTAGTATGTGCATGTAAATGCAAATGTACTAAATGCACTAAACAATATAATGGTGACATTTAAAAGTATTTTTAATAGACATTTTCTGCCATTGATTTGTTGGCTCATTGTTTTGATTTTGTTTGATCATAAACATTTTCACTCTTTTTCTCAATTCATTATTTCAGTAAATGTTGCAGGTGAATAGCTGAATGAACAGATCTTAGTCTTTATTGTCTTCTGTTCACAATAAATGTTCATCTTCTGTCTCTCTGTGTTCAGTCTCATGTGTCTCGCTGTGGGTTTCCTGAATAAAGCTGTTTAACCTTCACACTCAAACTAAACTGAGACACTGAACCTTCACCAGTTTTCTGTGGCAGAAAAACGACCTGTTCATCACACAAACACAAAAACACCTCCAGCATTTGTGAGAAACTTTGAGACAGAAAACATGTCATTTTCAAGTCTCTGAATATTACAATAACAACAAATCATTTGAAAATGCTAATTATTACTGTTCATTTGCATGTACTGTGGATATTTAGATCAGGTCTGAGAGTAATACAAAATACAATTCATAAAATTATTATTTGGACTCGGACTCAGATGTTCTCATTTGCAGAAAGTACAAACTTTTCTCATTGTCTTTCATGATAATAATTAGATAATCATGCCTTTATACTGTATTTCTGTATATTTCGCTGATAATGTTGATTTCATCAGTATGAAAACTAGATTCAGTCATTGTCTGTGTTGAAGCTGTTAATTCGAGTCAATGCCATGCAATGACAATGTTTGACAATTCAAATATAATATAAAAAATGTAAATAATAATTGATTCTCTGATTCTACAACTTGAAAGAAGAGCAATAAAAAAGAAATAGTAGCAAATAAAACGTTTATTTTTCAATTAATAAACTATATGATTCTATTTTAAAACTCTTATATCAGAAAAATGACAAAGAGCAAGAAATGTGTCTTGCATGTACAAATCTAAATATTCAGAAAGATGAGAAACAGTCATTTGAACGGCTTTAAGAGCTGCTATTAAAGAGTCTTTATTAACTGTTAAAAGCTGCTGTGTGTCTATATGTGGAGTGGAAATTTTACAGTATCTTCTGGAAGTGTGAGTGACATGACAAACTATTTTAAACATGTGAAAGAAGCAACATGAGCAGCAGCGGAAACTTTAAAGTGTCTCATGATTCACAAACTGAACTGAACGACACCCATCAAACCAAACAACTGCTCAACACTAAATTATGGATTGCAGAAATCATAAATAGCATTTTTATCAACAAACTGTGTGTAAACAAACTTAAAAAAAAAAATAATTCATTTCTCTCAGATGAAGGATTCATTTCTGTCACTTTAGATGAGCTGATGGTTTGGCAGATGTGATTATAAGTGTGATTATTATCCTCTTTGCAGAAATGAACTTCATGTTTCTCTGGGATCTGACAGGTGATGTTGACTTCTCCACCAAGATACACAAATTCAGTCTCACTCTGTAGATATTTTGCATCTATAAATGTTTTTTAAAAATGTTTAAAAAAATTAGAACAAATAATTTATATGCAAGATAAAGTATCTGAGTTTGCTCACCGTGTTTGAGGTGCAGCTGAAGTTCAGTGAAGCTCTCAGTATAGTCAGATACTTTCACTCCACACCTGTATGTTCCTGCATCTGCAGCTTTCAGCTCTCTAAAAAACACCATCAAGACTCCTGCTCTGGTGTCGTCATATAAAGAAACATCTCCATTCTCCATCCATTCATCCTGAACTCCTGGATTCTTCCTCTCTGAACATCCGTCTGATTCTTTACAGATGTATTTTGGGTTGGTTTTGTATTGAGGATGTTCACACTTGATCATCAAACCACCTCCTGAGGAGCCGCTCACTCTAGACACGCCCACTTTAGCTGTCAATCGCAAATATTACTTCTAATCAATTTTGCAGGAAACACAGAATGTAGAAACTTTTATACTGGATTTGAGTTTGTTCTACTTTACATTGACATTTAATCATTTAGCAGATGTTTTTATTCAAATCAACTTACAAATAAGAACAAGCAATTAACCAACAGGTCAGCAACATGTTTTATATTTATGTTTTTAGTGCTGTGATAAATCCAGTCAGTCTAGCACAGTATAGTATCTACTTACTAATAATATGTAGATGAACAGTGTTAATAATGGAGTAACTGTATGATTGTCTGTTGATCCAAACTCCACATAAATAAACTCCTCCATCATCTGGTGTCACAGCAGTGATTCTCACACTGAAGATGTGTTTATGTTTGTCATCAGAAATACTGAATCTTTCTTTCTTCTTCCATCTGCTGTAAATCATCTCAATTGAGTGTTTTTCTTCTTTGAATATGATCTTGGGATCATTAATATGATTCTGTGAATATTCACAGCTGAAATTGGCAGTTTCTCCAATATTC